TGACGACAACGATGACAAGTTCAAGGAGGAAGAGTTCAGACACACAGTTATTGATCATGTGAGAAGCAGGACTGAGCGTCCAGCCCAACTTGAGTAACTTTACAGTGGTGTTCATAATTTGAACTTTCAGAAATGAGAACAGGTACACAACTATCTAATGACTATTTCAGCATTACAGTATTTACAGAGCAGCCAAGGTTTGTTGTAATCTGGGATAACGTTAGTTTCCACCGGGCTGCTCTGGTCCAGGACTGGTTCACAAAAGTTGTATATTTCACCCCTTACTCCCCATTCCTTTATCCAATTGAGGAAATCTTTTTCGGCTTGGTGTTGGCATACGACCACCAACTACATGCCCACATGCCTCTTCTGCAAACAATGAAAGTGGCATGCAGAGACACGGGTTTGCTTTGGATACAGCACACAAGACGTAATATTCCCCATTGTCTACCGAGGGATGAAATTGCGTGTGATGTGAATGAGGTGATGTGGTCAGACCCTAACAGAAGGCAGGATCCATAAACCATCCCTTACTGTAAAATAATAATTTTGTATATCATTGCCTTTGTTTTCGGTAGTTTGCAGTAACATTGTATTGACTACTGTACTCTAATTCTACTTTTCTTTGTGTTTTTGCTAATGTAAAAACCTGCAAAGGAGAACAAATCTATAAATGTTTTTTTTCCCTTTCTATTTTTTGTATTCATTGAAATGTGAGTAGATGATAACATTTTACAGAAGCCTGTATGAGAAAATAGGTATACAAAGTACTAAAGACAGCAGTGTTTTGTATAAAGCACATCAGTGTGTTGTTACCTGCCTGAAAGAGTAAAAACAGTGTGTGCATCCTTTTGTCACAAAAATGCCGTTTTGAAAAAGGATTGAAAAGGTTTTGACTGTAGAGTTTCATTTTGATAGAGAAGTGAGAAATGGTTTACTTCCTACCTCTCAGAAAGGTCACAATATGTAAAAATACAAAACTACAGGTCGGAAACCTCCAGCGTTCATTACCGAGTACCGCAGGGTTCAGTGCTTGGACCACTACTATTCATCATCTACCTCCTCCCTCTTGGCAACATCTTCCGGGGCTACAATATCCATTTTTACTGTTACGCTGACGATATACAACCTTATCTGTCCACTAACCCCAGCTCCACACTCCCCTCCAGTACACTCACTGCCTGTCTACATGACATACAGACATGGATGACAACTAATTACCTGCAACTCAACAATAGTAAGACTGAGCTACTACTCATTGGTTCAAAAACCAACATCAGCTCACTCCCCATAAAGGGAACCGCAATACCTGTCTCCACGCAAATTAAGAGCCTTGATGTAATATTGGACAGTACCCTGTCTTACATCAGCCATATGCATAACGTATCCCGGACTGCCTTTTTCCACGTACGAAACATCTCCAAACCATGTCCTGCTCTAACTCAAAACTCAACGGAAGTCCTAGGATATGCCTTGGTCACATCACGCATTGATTACTGCAGTGCAATTTTAGCAGGTATTCCTAGCATACTTATTCACCGACTGCAGCAAGGATCATAACACGTTCCAAGTCCACAGAACATATCACTCCTCTGCTGATTCAACTACACTTGCTCCCTGTATCACAAAAGGATTAACTTTAAAACATTATTACTAACATTCAAGCCCTCCACAGTCTGACCTCATTCAGACCTACACTCCATCTCGTTCGTTGAGGTCTTCTGCAACAAGTCTTTGGCACTACCAACCGTCGACCTCAGCAGGGCCTGACATTAACACCCGCATACCCGCCAAATGCGTGTGAATTTCGGCTGTGGCGGGTAACACAGTCACTCCCACTAGCCACTTTGGCGTGTTGAAAAATTGTAGTCTTGTCAAAAGGCATAATAGCAAACTCCCATGAGTACTTGCTGCACATAGTGTTTGCTCATTGGTCCATTAGTGAAGCCTATTGTCTTGCGCGCTACTGACGAACAACACTGTAAACAAGACGTTGAAAATGCACAGGAGAACGAAGGAAAGAGAAAAGGCAGAGCAGAGGCGGAGAAAAGCAGGAAGAAAGTGCCATTAAATGCTGTAAAATCTAGATATCTTCATGATTACCGTCATGCTAGTGTTTATAAAAGAAAACAGACTCCTACTAGCAGGACAGCCCCAGATCGTCATATCACAACTACCTTTATAGAGTTGATTCTGTGTTTTAATAAAAAGTTTTCATGCCATGTCTGAAAGCAGAAGATGTATTTGCAGGGGAATAATCTGGAAAATAAATACCTGTATACTCAATTCATATCTCCAGTTACTCAGAGCTACTGCAGAGCTTCGTGATGATAAACATAAATACAGTCAGAGCTCTGAGGAAAAACAAACACTCCAAAAGTGCACAAAAATAATATAGGCCTATACTTAACATTTTAATCCTATTGCCTTAATTGTGTGTGATTTTTTTCATTTTTTGTTTCTAATGCAGACAAATTTTCTACTCTGTATTACAGTAATTAGCCTAGGATTTAATCAATGTTTCTGGTAAATTTTGTTTTTAGTTTAGTTTTTATCTTTTCAGTCAATCTTTTACACCCATGCAGCACTTTTATTATATACAATAAGAAGCTGCTATTTTAATGTGTTTATCTTAATAGACAATTTTTTCAACAAAAGGAGCTTTACACAACCTTATCAGAGCTAATGACAATATTAGTACATTTTAGCACGCCAATTTAAGCGTGCCATTGTCAACTTTAATCGTATAAAAAGTAATTTCCCAACAACGAAAATGTGGCTAGTGAAAATGCTGCGTGACTAGTAACTTTGAAAAACCACTAGCCACATTGGCTAGTGAGCAAAAAAAGTTAATGTCAAGCCCTGAACCTCAGTACCATGGGTGCTAGGACCTTCTCCTATACTTCACCCAAACTCTCCCCCTCCAACCCGTTCTCACTCTCAAGTCACACATGAACGTATGGTCAAGAGCCATAGTCGTCAGTTTGTGACGCACTGGGAATCCCTTTGCCATCATAATTCGACGTACTGGGGAAGCCCTGTAGCGTCAGTTCTTGACTGTAAAGGCAGGTAAATGATATTTAACAGAAAAGACTGAGTAAGGAGGTGGTTGGCGTGGAAGGAGGGCCAGAACCCGGGTTTTGAACCAGGAGACCGGGGTTCCATGTGAAACAAAAACTCATCATTAAATATTTTTATTTAAGCAAGTTACGTAAATTGACTTTAGTTAACTTACGTATTAACTGACGTACGTAGTTATTGTAACTCAAACCATGATCTTTTCCTAACCTTAACCAAGTAGTTTTGTTGCCTAAAAACTAACAAAACTGCAACGTTTCACAACTTTACACAACTTGACCTCAGAGCCCTAAATGTCAACAATTGACGCAAAAGGGATAGTCCCCCCCCCCCCTCAGAGAAGAAAGAAAAGAGTTTTGGTCAGTTATGTGTGATCAATAACAAACAGCCCTTCATTCAGTTTGGGATTAAATGGCCTTTCTAGTCCACTCACAGTGCAAACCTGTGTGACCTTTTTGAGTATTTAAGTGAATACATCTCTTACAGTTTTCTCTGAGTACTTAAACACTTTGTGAAACCATCAACATTTATATTTAAATCGTTTACCAAGTGTGCCAGACTGAAGCACGTTCTCTGCTTCACACTCATATCACACTTATATCAAAACCGTAAACATTACAATGTTTTGTGACATTATTCCACATTAGCACGTGAAAATAAAATCTGAGAATGAGCACTACACGTGAAAAGGCCACAGGTAAACATTTGGTTTGGCTAACAATGGAGGCTTTAAAGGGGTGAGAATTAGAGGAGGAAGAGGAGGACATGGACTAGGATGTGAAGAAAGAAGAGGAGGAGAGGGCGAGATCAAGTAGGATAGGGGGAGAAGAAGAGGACGAGGAAGAGAAAGTGGAGTCAGGAACATAACAACTGATGAAATCAGAGCAACTGTGATTGACCATCCTGTCAACCATGGGATGAGCTTGAGGGAGGCTGGGCAGCAGATTCCCCCAAATCTGAGCTGCTTTACTGTTGCAGGTATCATCTGAAATTATTTTGAAATGAGAAGCAGTTATTAATCGTAGGTGATGTTCAGCTCTGGTACTGGTTCAGTAATATGTACTGTGATGACATGGATCTGTCAATCTGTCTGACAAATGTTTTTTACAAGGTCAAGGAAACCAGTATCTGGTGGAACAGGTCGACTGTTCAGAGCCCCAGAGCAGGAGACCCACATTGTAAATATGGTCATTGCAAGATTACTACCGTAATCCCCTTCCCCCACCACTCTGCCACCTGCCCGCACTGCCGCTATCCGTTCAAAACATAGTCAGACTTGCCACGAGCAAGATTGCCCAGCAATATTGCTCAAAAAGTTGCCCCTTGTATCATCAGCTTGAGTGTCTCTACACTGGGTGAGGCTGCAGTACAGAGTCCCTTTCAAAATAAACTTATTTTGTGTAAAACAACTGAGGAACAAACATCTTTACACATTTGGGCACCTGTGTGTTTGAGAGTTTTGCTACATGCATGACAAAACTTAATCGCAAAAAAATCGCAAGTGTATTTTCAATTTTAGTATCAGTATGTAATTACTGCTTTGTGTGCTCACTCAGAGATTTTTGTGTGTACTGGAAAAACAACAACAGAACTTTAAAAAGGGTTTTGCAAGAGATATATAATGTTTTGTTTTTTTGGTGTAAGGGTTTGTGGTTAGTGTGTAGAGATTGGCCAAAATAGCCAATAGTTTCAAAAAGTTTGCTAAGCAATCAGAAATAAACTATAATGATGATCAAGTGTTTCTGTAAACAGGTGCAGGGGCGAAATCTTTTCTCAGACGGGAGCCGGCTCAATCAAAATCAATATTGTTCAGCTGATGCGGTCAGATTGTAACCACCAATATTATGTACAAATGTTCCTCTAAACTTTCAACCAACTTTAGAGTGTGTGTGTGTGTGTGTGTGTGTGTGTGTGTGTGTGTGTCCTCAGTGAACTGTATCAGTCTCTGCAGTAGCTTCCAGCTGCAGCAGTCAGTTCAGTTTCTGTTCAGTCTGACTGAGGGAGGTTTTTGTACGACGCTTTTTCACTGTGTGAACACATCCTGACTGTTGATATAATGATAACTCTGACAGTAGTAAACTGCTGCATCTTCAGCCTGAACTCCACTGATGGTCAGAGTGAAGTCAGTCCCAGATCCACTGCCAGAAAAACGACCTGGAATCCCTGATTCTCGCTCATTAACCCTATAAATGAGCAGTTTAGGAGCTTCTTCTCCTCTCTGTTGGTACCAATGTAACAGATCTTTACCACTTGATAATCCCACTTCCACCTGCTGACTGACGCTACAGCTGATGGAGACGGAGGCTCCCAGAGCAGAGCTCACTGCTCCAGGCTGAGTCACTGTGATCTGGCCTCTGGACTCTGAGGATACAGAGACAAACACATAAAGCAGCGTCATGGTTTTGTGGGCTTCATTTCAGAGGGACGGATGTTCATAGAGGAGAGGAGTTTGATTCTCTGGACTTTACCTGTGAAGCAGCAGCAGAGGAGAGTCCAGATGAGGACGGAGACCAAAGTCATGTTTTTGATGAGGAGGATTTCTGTGGCTTCTGTTGTCATGAAGGACAGCTGTCAGTCATCCAGTGTTCAACTCTCAGGACTATAAAGTCTCCCAGAGCACTGGAGCATGGTGCTGCTGATGCAGAGTGGCTCTCTATGGAAATGCTCTGACTGACTCCAACAGGGACTTGGATTACTCTGATGATGCTGCTTCTCAATGGATCAATACGTTTACCAGAGGATTGATTAGGAATGTGTCAGTGATCATTTTTATAAACGTAAAAATACGTACTTTGCCCTTTTCAGAGTTTTGACAGTAAATATTTTTTTATTTCCAAATTTAAAACCTGATTGTTTTATTTCCAGTGCAGTTTGATATCTTTCAGCTCATATGAGGACTCTTTCTGTGCTGATATGCATGAGAGGTTTCTTAAAGGAAGTGAAACAATGTGTGAGTGAGTGACTGGTGGAGCAGAAACCAGCTGTGTGGTCCCCGTCCTCTAAGCCGATTGGTTCTTCTCCTAGGTGATGCCCGTCCCATCCTGACGGTGCTGCCCCCCTCCAGCGAGGAGCTGCAGCAGGGGAAGGCCACGCTCATGTGCCTGGCCAACAAGGGCTTCCCCTCAGACTGGAGTCTGGCCTGGAAGGTGGACGGCAGCAGCAGCAGCAGCAGCAGCTGGGAGGAGAGCAGGAGCCCCGGGGTGCTGCAGAAGGACGGCCACTACAGCTGGAGCAGCACCCTGAGGCTCTCTGCAGACCAGTGGAGGAAGGTGGGCTCTGTGACCTGTGAGGCCACCCAGGGCTCCCAGACTCCGCTCTCAGAGACACTGAGGAGAGACCAGTGTTCCCAGTCCTGACCTGACTCACTGGGACTCTGCTACTGGTTTTCCTCTGCTCCTGCTCTCACTCTGCACTCTGGAACTGTCTCTCTCTTTTATTTGACATCTTTCAACAGCAAGATTTACTAGCTTGTTGCACTGTTTCAATATTATTTCAGTGTTTCCAGATAATAAAGACCTTTTCATCTAATCAGCTGTTTTCAGGTTTATTATTATCACAGTATTATGAATGCTTTCATGACTGTAGTATCTTTTCTGTTATAGTCACAGATTTATCTGTAATAAAAAACCATTTTATGGCCCAACATTTTGAGCCATTTCAAAGATAAATCATATCTCTTCATTCTAAACTGTGTAAATAGTAATAACTGTAATATTGTAATTGCTTTTGATGTATCCAACATGCATTATCCTGTAATAGAACTACAAAAGTCTAAAAAAAGGACAACATCATCAAAATAAAGATAAATAAGAACCACAGAAACCAAAGATGACAAAAGGAAATAATTAACATGTTACTGATCGGTCGATCATAGTACGTGTTTGTTGAAATACTTGATGTTGAGATTTATTAGTTATTTAATTTCAATAATGAATATGTTCACATTTCTATGAAAAATTGTGCGATCAAATTACCCAAAATATATACTACTAGTGTTCTTGTCTTGTTTATCTTCATAGATTATATTAATTTAAATATTAAAGTACAGCTTTGATAAATTATTTAAATCTTATATTAATAAAGTTATCAAAAGTATAAATGTTTGGATCCAATCCAAAATGTTTTGTGCTAAAATGATTTGATATTAAGCTTTTTTTAAAAATAAACCTCCTGTTATTTTAGTTTCAGTGCGGCTGTTGAATCAGATCAGTTCCTCTCCAGCTGAGGGAGGTTTTTGTACGACGTTGTATCACTGTGTGAACGGTCTGCTGTAACCCTGCTGACAGTAGTAAACTCCTGAATCTTCAGCCTGAACTCCACTGATGGTCAGAGTGAAGTCAGTCCCAGATCCACTTCCACTAAAACGATCTGGAACTCCAGACTGACGAGTTGTAGCTGTATAAATCAGGAGTTTAGGAGCTTCTCCAGGTTTCTGAAGGTACCAGCTGAGCCAGCTGTAACCAGAACTATAAACACCTGTACTGGTTTTACATCTGAGAGAGACAGTCTGTCCTGGAACAGCAGACTGAGATCCAGGAGACTGAGTCAGGATGATTTGTCCTGATGAACCTGGAAAAGATGAAAAAGAGGAGAAGGGTTATTGAGACAAATCCAGCTTGGAGAAAGATGATCAGCATCCAAACAGAAGAGTCTCATTTCTTTAAGATGGAGAACAGATGGAAGAAGGTAAATGCTGCTTGTTTCAGTGTTTCTCCATCACAGCAGAACATCATTGTGGTGAACCTGGTTGCATCCTGAAGCAAAGTTTTCAGAAGAGAGTCTCACCCTGAACAAGGAGCCCCAGGGTGGCCAGCAGTAGAATCAGTGACATCATCATTGTGCTGCCGGCGTGTCAGTGGCTCTGAAAGGCCTGGACAGCCACTGATCAACACTGGCCTCTTAACGGCTGGGAGCAGAGAGGCAGGACAGATATGCAAACACACAGAGTCAGTGAACTGTAGCTGTCCTCAACATATCATGCTGTTTCCTCCTCACTGCTGGGACAGCTGCCTCACAAACAGGCTATATTTGTGTCAGAACATGAAAGAACTCTTCTTTTTCCACATTGTTGGGCTGCATCCATACAAACGGATACCAAGTGATACCTCAACTTTTAATTTTGTAAATATTTTGTAGTTTGATGTAGAAGTGCTGATGTAATCAATTGTAGAGCTTGTTTTGTTGAATCGGGTCGACTTTCTGTATTGACACATACTGAGTATTACCTGAAGAAGACTCAATAAAAAATTTAAAAACATTAAATCAATTTGCCTTTTTCTTGATGCCAGTAGGCTAAGATAGTGGAGTATACAATATATACACTTCTTGTTGTCTTCTGTTGAAAAATAAATACTTTTTAAGTAGGGCTGTCAGAGATAAAAAATTTTTTTTAACACAATCAAATTTATTTAATTTCATAATTTGTTGAAATTTTAACTCACTGACAAATGTTTAAGTGTAAGGAGTGTGCTTGCTTTATTTTCAATGTTCCACTGCTACATCCAGAAAATGTTCACTATGATGTCTCTCCTCAGTTTCAAGATGGTCAAAGCCTGTGAATGCTGTTTAAATTTTTCAACAATATAATGGGCAGTAACCCCGAGATAACTGTCCTTCCCTTGTGATGCCCAGTGGTCACCAGTAAAGCCTAGTTCTCACTACACAATTTTAAGCCCGAGTTGCCCGTCTGAGAGCTCGGCGACCGTCAGGCTGTGATCAGGGGTAAATCAGTGATCGATCGGTGGTCGCCTGTCGTTATGTGTGAACTATTTAACGCTGCATCAAAACGGTGAACCATCGCAGACGCCAGCCAGATATCTAGCATGCCAAATATCTGGAGGAGTCGGCCGACTCGACATCCACATCCAGCCGATGAGAGCAGGCAGCTACTTTTTCAATGCAAAACACTTTTTACTCCCCTCCAGCTCTCTGTAGCTCAGACGATCCCTGCTACCTGCGTGTACAGCAAACAAATACAGCCAAGTCAAGGGACAGCATGTGTGGGCTGATAGTCCTGATACTAATCATTTTAATTCTTAAGTGGAACGCGAGAAGCTTGATAGCTAATGGGCAAGATTTCAAACAGTTTATAGTTAGTAACTGAACTTGGATGTTGTTCTACATGGTTATGTAACAGTGAGGCGAGACAGGATGGAGGGGTCAGGTGGGGGATGTGTCACTTTTATAAAGCAGGGCATTCCTTTCAGGATTTTAGGGATAGGAAGAGAACAAGAGTACGTGGTAGTGAAAGTGTGGGCTGAAGAGAAAGAAGTAGCGATTGTGAATTATTATAATCCGTGCAAAAAACTTACAGTTAACTTACAGAGTTAATGAAGCTGGAAGAGATAGAAGGGCAGAACAGTAGTAATGTTGTTTGGTGTGGAGATTTTAATGGACATAACACATTATGGGGTAGAACAGACACAAATGTTCAGGTGACAGAAGAGTTGCTAGATGAAAAGACTTTACCATTGCGCCATCACCACCCCAGTGATCATCAGATGTTTATATATACAGGAAAAGAATCTGTGCTTGATCTCACTTTGGTATAAAACTCCATGGCATCAGCATGTGATTGGTCGGTGTACCATGAAGGAACTATAGTGAGTGATCATTATCCAGTGAAATGGAAATATGTCCTTTAGTGAGTCTTCTGAAATAAAGAGCCCAATCCAGACGTCTTTTAAATGTTTTATTCTTTGTGAAGGGTCAGACAGACAAACAGAGTGCAACCAGTCTGCAGAGTGTAAGACAAAGAGCCAGTGAAGAAACAGGTGACTTTATACTGTAAGGGTATTACGCAGCTATCCAAAGGAGGAAGGGAGTAGGGACCAGCTGTCCTGAGATGAAGGCCTATCAAGGACAGTCAGATAAGAAAACTCTCTAACGAGCATCTTTCCCATGGGAACCTTCACCTAACTGTAACCTAATAAAATAATCAAATACCACACAGTGAAACACTGGTCTATTCTGATGAAGCATGCAGGGTGAAACAGTAAACACAGTAAAATATCACATTTCCATCACACCAGTTTGGTGCAAGATAAATATGGCAACTCCACTGTTCATAGAGAGCACAGGGGGGAAATGGATCTTGATGTAAGTGATAGCTATCCAAGTCAGATTCACGATGGGATGAACATATTCTGTAAACACTGGACAGAATCAATTCCTAAAGGCAGAGCAAGGCAGAAAGTAGTACCATGGCGGGATGATGAGTGCAAGGAAGCAGTGAGAAATAGAGATAAGGCATTTAAACTAGTTAAAAGAACTCATAATTTTCAACATCTGATTCAGTACAAGCAAGCACAGGCAGTAGAAAGGAGGACAATAAGACAGGCAAAAAGACACAATGGAGGAAGTATTGTGATTCTATAGGAAACACAACTCAGGTTGGGGATGGTACATAGCTCAAATCATTTGTAGGAAAAGGTAGAAGAGATGGAGAGAAAGTCCCCTTTAGAATAGGAGAGGGCACTATATAAAGGAGGACAGACGGCGCCAGGGAAAGATGAAATATGTTATAGTATGATAAAGCATCTAAGTGTAGGAAGTCTGGAGAAATTATTGCTGCTGTACAACAGAGTGTGGGTAGAGGGAATAATGCCAGGGAGTTGGAAGGAGGCTATAATTATTCCAAGGAAACCTGGAAAAGATGCCAGTAGACCTGGAAGCTATAGACCAATTGCCTTGACTTCTCATATCTGTAAGTTAATGGAGCATATGGTGAATGAGTGATCCAGTGCTGGGGTTAGAAGATGAAAGAAGGAAAGCTCTAGTAAATAAAGACGCGGTGGTTTCATTATTTTTCGATGTGGAAAAGGCATATGATATGTTATGGAAGGAAGGGTTGCTAATTAAACTGTACCTAATGGGTGTTGGAGGGAAATGTTTAATTGGATTATGGACTTTTTAAATGAAAGAACTATTCAGATGAAGATAGGAGCAGAATTATCTAACCAATATGCTGTAGAGAACGGGACACCTCAGGGGAGTCTAATAAGCCCAACTTTATTTTCCATTATGATAAATGATGTATTGGTAAACATTCAAACTGATATTGGGAGATCATTGTTTGCAGATGATGGAGCATTGTGGAAAAAGAGGGAGAAATGTGGAATATGTAGCTAAGAAAATGCAAGATGGAATTAATCAAGTTGAAAAGTGGGGAACAAAATGGCGATTTAACTTGTCAGTGAAGTTATGTTCTTCACAAGAAAGAAAGTCAGGCAGGGCTATTTGAAATGGTATGAAAATAATTTAGAGAGATGAAAGGTTATTTTGACGTGAGATTGATGAATCAGTGGCATCATCATGCAGTCGGCGGTTCACAAACCACGATAGCTTCGTAGTTTTTGCCCCCTTTATGCCCATTTCTCAATCCAATTGAGGAATTATTTTCAGCTCGGCGTTGGAAGGCATACGAACTACATGCCCGCATGCCTCTTCTGCAAGCAATAAAAGTGGTATCCAGAGACACTGAGGTGGGGTCAGTCCAGGTTTGGATACAGCACGCAAGACGAAATGTTCCCCATTGCATACCCAGGGATGAAATTGCATGTGATGTGAATGAGGTGATGTGGCCTGACCCTAACAGAAGGCAGGATGCATAAACCATCCACCCCATCCCTTCCTGTAAAATAATGTTTTATAAAACCACACTGTTGTTTTTGGTAGTTTGCAGTAACGTTGTGTTAGCCGTGGCCGATAAAAGGTTCAGTTCAAGGGTTCAAATAAAGTGTATTTAAAAAGAATCCTGACAACGCCACATTCGCCAGCTCTCGGGAGCTGGGCCACAGTCACTCAGTCGGTTCCTCAGTCCCCCCCTCAGCGCTTCCACGGGTCGCGTTGCTCTCCCACGGCTCGCTTCGTCAGCTTTCTCGGTCTCCGCCACTCGTCCCTACAACAAGGAAGCACTGGCAAGTAGAGTGATAAGTAGCCCACATAGGGTGTGGGCTACTTGTTAAGTAGCCCACACCCTATACTCCACGGTCCTGTTCTTTGTTCGACACCCTGCTGTGGCTGTTGCTTCGCTCAAAAGGAGTCCTGTTCAATCTGTTGCTGGTGTGACACCAAAATCTGTGACCTCTCAGATTCTGTGACCCAAATTGGAAGTTAAGCGCCAGAGGCTTTGATGACGATGTGAAGCTGTTGCAGCTTGGTTGGGTTTAGGTACTAACAGTACTTGGTTATGGTTAGGAAAACATCGTCGTTTGGGTGTAGTCACAGAATCTGAGAGGTCACAGATTTTGGTGTTCATTTGGGTATCATGCTGTTTCCTCCTCACTGCTGGGACAGATGCTGTTTAAAACATCCTCATGCAGATTAACACAAACTAACAACAGAAGTTATAACTAACTAACTTTTCTATCAGCTGACCTGTTCTAACTGGTTCTCCTGTTCACTGTTAACCACCAACATCTGGTGGTTTTGGTGATCAGAATTTACACTACAGTAAAACATCACACTTTTATCTTTAGTACTGAAACCTGCCTGTTGCCATGGTTCCCCTTCGAGGGAACTCGAACTGCGTCGGTTACGACACTATGGGAACACCTCTAGGCGAAGCAGGTCTGAACGTGAATGAAATCACTCCAATCCTATTGGCTTGTTGCTAGAACGGTAAGGTGTGACGGAATAACCGGAGGAGTATAAAGCACACCTGTACACACTCATCATTAGCTTTTTTTTATTCAGCAGGCGCTCTGTATGTTGTTTGAAGAAAGCTCCAGTCCTACAAGCAGTGTGTCTTACCTGAAGAAGAAGTCTACCAGCATGTCCGGCAACCAGATGTACAGAAGGTGTGTTTTTTCTTGCCCTCGGTACATCACGGATGGAG